AAACTTTCCAATGGATGATGATAACTTGGCAAAGACTTTAAAAAGGACTCTCTTAGTTTTCATTATAGTGACTCATAGCCATAATGTAAAGCTGTTCTTACTGCTTCTAAAAAACACTTCATTCAATGCAATGGGTTTTTTTTTTGAATACAAGGACACGAAAAAACCATGTAAAAGAAGGAAAAATCAGGTTATGTTAGATTCCATAAGGGTTCTACATCTTGGAGGTGAATTATTGTAAATATTAAGGTTGAGATTATCTCGAGATGCAAGGTGAGTGAGCATGTTCGCACATCTGTTTGTTTCCCTGAACGTGTGGTCAAAGGAAATGATTCAATCTTTCATGACAAGAGTTCTGACTTTGCTGATAATTCCAGAGAGAGGGTGATTATCAGGAAAATTATGTTGGATATGCGAAAGTGCTTCTACTGAATCAGAGCAAATGTTGATTTTGTCAAAATGGGCATTCCAATAAAGTTGAAGTCCTTCTAAAATGCCTAATAGTTCTGCTGTTGTGCTAGGATGATAACCGAGGTACTTAGAAAATCCTTGATCTAATTCCCTTTATCATCTCATATGATACCACCACAAGTAGCAGCTCTGAAAGAGTTGACAGCCCCATCAATGTCAAGACAAATCCAGCCTGTTTCTGGGGGTGTCCAACGTGCCTTTAGCCTTTTGCAATTGTGACTTAGAAGTTAACTTTAGATTGAAGCCTCATATCGTTGGTGATTTGCTGGGTACTGGAGAAAGCAATGTCGACATTATGAGAGAATCTCCAGAATAGATATTCTTACAACGCGTCTTCCAGATGTTCCAGCAAACCTGAGCAAAAAGTCTCTGCCAAAGAATCCTTCTTGTATTTAGATTTCCTGCCTTAACTTTTACATTTCAAATTATCCAATCCTGCACAGAAAGGAAAAGAAAGTATTAAGTTTTGAGGGTTTCACCAATTTAGTCCATACGTTACGAGCTTCTATGCAGTCTCGTAGAATATGGATAGAGGAATTGAGAGAATTGCATCTAAAAAAGCAAGATCTTTGAAGAGGTGTACTCCCTTCGGTGTAGGTAGAATTGAGCTGTAGTCTGTCCCAAGCAGCCTTCCAAAGAAAGCACTTGATTTTTTTATAAGTAGGCCATTTCCAAATCTTAGCCCAAATGTCGGTGTTGTTACAATCCTTTTAAGAGGACATAGCTTTGTAGCCCAATTTAATGGAGAAGTTGCCATCGGAGGATGGTCTACAAACAATGACATCATCCTCCCCCTCAAAATTAGGTGGTCTCACCAGCACAATGAGTCTTATCACCTCAGTAAGGAGGTGACGATTCAAAAGACTAAAATTCCATCTCCCAACGGAATTACTAAGATTAGAAACACAAGCATGAAGAATAGGCTCCACACTAGGATAAGCATAAAAAACAAGAGGTTCTGGAAGAGGGGACCACTTACTGTACCAAAAGGAGGTATGGTCTTGCTTATCAATTTTCCAGCCAACATGTGCCATGAATTTATTCCAAACTTTGTAAATACTATTCCAAGTGAAAAAGGAGGAGCTAGGTTTGTAGACAATGGGAATAGTGGGGCTTATACATTTATATTTGTCACAAAGAATCTTGACCCAAAGCCGATTTGGTTGAGTGATAAGACCCCAGCAAAGTTTCATAATGAAGGCAATGTTATGGCTCCTAAGATTTCTGATGCCAAGTCCCCCATTAGATTTATCCATAGTAATATAATCCCAAGAAATAAGGTGAGGTTTTTTATGGCCATCAGAGGAGTCCCAGAGGAAGTTTCTTGAATTTTTTCCCAATTCCATAAGAATATTGTTAGGTAATAACATGTTCTGCATGGCGTAGCTAGGAATTACTGAAAGAACAAAATTAATAAGAATAGTTTTCCCAGCGAAGTTAAGAAATTGGCTTTTTCAATTGGTAAGGCGAGAGCAAGCTTTGTCAAGTAAAGGAGCAAAGGTAAATTTAGAAGCCCTTTCATGGATTAAGGGAATTTCCAGATATTTGCCAAGATTACTCGTGAAGGGAATTCCTAATTCAGAGCTGATCTGAGAAGCCCTATTAAAGTTGACGTTCCTAGAACAAAAGAGCTTAGATTTCCTAATGTTAACTTTTTGTCTAAAAGCATTGCAGAAATTTGAGAGTCATTGTTGAATAATCATAGTTTGGTTAGTAGATGCCTTCGTAAAAAGTAACAAGTCATCATAAAAAATAAATGAGAAATAGGAGGCCCATTAGTTGTTAGTCTAATTGGCTTCCACTCATTTTTATCAATGGAACTAATAATACAATGACTAAGACGTTCGATGCACAGAACAAATAAATAAGGAGATAAAGGGTCTCCCTGTCTTATACCGTGAGAGGGAACAAATTCCTCAGTAGGTTCACCATTCTAAAGGACTCTCATACGAGGAGTAGAGATGGCAGCTCTAATCAATTTTTTGAGGTGAGTATTCAAACTAATGGAATGAAGAGTGTTGTCAATAAAATCCTAAGAGAGTCTATCGAAAGCTTTCTCAAGATCTACTTTAAGAGCCATAAAACCTTTCTTTTTGTTCCTAATCCTCATAGAGTGAATGATTTCCTGAGCGATAATGATATTATCACTACTTTGCTGACCTTGAATAAAGCTACATTAAGAATCTCCAATAAGATTATTCATACATTGACGAAGACGATTAGAAAGAATTTTAGTTATGATTTTATAGCTGACATTACAGAGAAATATAGGCCAAAAGTCCTTCATATAAGTAAGGTTATCAACTTTAGAAATGAGAGTAATGAAGGTGTCATTTATCTCACTAATCGTGTCCGGATTGATGAAGACCTTTTTAATGAGTTCGACAATGCTGGTTTTGAGATCATTCCAATAGTTGTGGATAAAACCAGCATTGATACCATCCGGCCCAGGGGCTTTAAAGGCTCCGATATCAAAAGCAGCGATCTTGATTTCCTCCTCGATGACCTCTCTATGGATAGAATGGAGTTGTAAGGTAGAGAGAGGTAGAAATCCCTTATCAATGATGAGCTTGTGTTTTACAGGAGCATCTTCCCTGAAAATATTTTCAAAATAAGAGACAGCCATGCTTTTCAAAGTATTAGGGTCCTGGATCCAAGTATCATTGTCAGATTTGAGAGGTAATATTTGGTTTCTTTTCCTTTTAATGATAGAGGTGGCATGAAAAAATTTTATATTCCGATCGCCCCAATAAAACCATTTGCATCTGAATTTTTGAAACCAAATTAGTTGCTCTTGCAAGATGACCTTGTTGAATTCTTCCCATAAAGAATTTTCTAGCTTTATAAGAAAGTAATTATCATTGTGATTCCTTCAACGGTCTATTCCTTCAAGTCTGCGAAGGATTCTTTTCTTTTTCAGAGGAATGCTGCTGATGTTGTTTTTGTTCCATAATGTTGCAGAATCAGCAAATTTAATTCTTCCTTCATTCTAATCATTATTTTTCCAGGATTTCTTAATAATCGGATGAAAGGACTCTTCTAGCATCCAAGTAGCATGACACTGAAAAGGTCCTTTGTGATGGTAAGGATTGAATCCTTTTTGAAGTTAGATTCTGATAGGCTGATGATCAGAGCCATATTTGAGTAGATGATAAGAATTCACTTGGTTGAATTTAATATGCCATTCAAGTAGCATGACACTGAAAAGGTCCTTTGTGATGGTAAGGATTGAATCCTTTTTGAAGTTGGATTCTGATAGGCTGATGATCAGAGCCATATTTGAGTAGATGATAAGAATTCACTTGGTTGAATTTAATATGCCATTCAACATTACAGAAAGCCCAGTCAAGTCTTTCTTTCACATTTCCTTTACCCCAAGTGAATTTATCACCAGTAAAGTTTAGCTCAAGTAGATAGGAAGAATTGATACAGTCTCTAAATTGTTTCATAGCTTTTCAATTATGACCACTGCCTCCACATTTATCTTCACAGGAAAGATAGGCATTGAAATCACCTATAATAAGCCAAGAATCAGAGACATCTTAAGCCAAGGACATAATGGAGTCCCAAAGAGCAACACGTTCGTAAGGGTTAGGATCTCTATAAACACAAGATAAAAGGTAAGAGGTATTATTGGATAAAACATTAACTTTACAATGAAGAATTTGGACATTAGAATAAATATAATCAATTTCAATAGTGTTATTATTCCAAAGGATCCAAATACCTCTAGCATATCTGGTAGCTTCAACACGGATCCAATTAGAGAAGCCTAGTTTTTTAACAATCATATCTGCTCTAGAACCACTAGCTCTAGTTTCAATTAGAATAAGAATTTGAGTGTTATGAGCATAAGTAATTTCTTTGATGCGACTAGGAAAGCTTTTACTACAAGTGCCTCTACAATTCCAACATATAATATCCATAAAATAAAAATAAGGAATAAAAATAATAGGAGGGAATAAACCTGGAGGGAGGATTAGGTTTCATCCTCATTATCACTGAATTCATCATCCTCCAAGTCGTTATTGATGCATGCATTATCAAAATCCTCATCTAAGAGGTCATCATCAATAATATCATCATCATTGCCGTTCATATCTCTATCACATAAGAATTGATTTTGAGAAGCCTTGGCTGGATCAGTGTTCATTTGAGTTTTAGGAACAAAAATGATGGAATTACTAGGATCAAGAGGCTTGGTAATATCATAATTCTTAGCTAAATTAGGAGGAGAAATCAAATTAACATTAGAAATTTTTTTTCCTAATCCCTGCATCCAGGTTCATGGATTAGGAGAGAAAGAAATATCCTTCATAGCTTTAAGTCCAGTATTGTTGGCTTGGTCTGCTGCGATGGGCTTCTTAGAATAGCCTAAGTCTCTTTTATTTCCCTTAGTAACCGTGTGAATGCGTTTTGTGGGCCTGGAATTTGTTTGCTTCGGCTACAGCCCACTTAAAGGAATTTCGTTCAGCTTGAAACTCTTTGGGTCGTCCCAATTAAAGCTCAGCCTATTATGTGAGGCTTTCTTCCCTTTCACTGAACCAGACTGAAACTCTTTCTCATGGCTAATTTCGCTGTTGCTGATTATTTCGGCCACCGTATCCTTCTCATCAGCACGATTTCTCTTGTTTCTTGCTAAGTCTTTCCTTACCCATACATTTCTGACAGTCTTAACTGGGTTTTTCGTAGATGAACCGTTGAAAGAAGCTGGAAAGCTCGCCTTGCCATCGTCTCTGTACTCTAGGTTGGCTAGCACATCAAATTGAGATTTATTAATGAAGCTAGATCCTCGATTTGGGTGATTTTGCTGATTACCCGTTGGATTCTTCAGTTTTCTTGCTCAGGCTGGTCTTTGAAACTTCATCCACTCTTCGCAAGTTTCGTCCAGCCAGTAAGCGTCCGATGAACCTTCATGAGTTCATCTTGCTAGTTTTTCTGGTATGGTAGCTGTCTGGTTGTGTTTTCTCATGGATGATCTTGTGGTTTGTTACTTGCTTCGGCCTTGTTCTTCTCCTTTTCTGTATCTATAGTCTTAGGATTATACGGACAAGAGCTTTTGTTGTGTTCATAGCAACCACACCGGAAACATATAAGGTTTAAACTTTCATATTCTACATTGTAAAGTTCGTCTCTGATAAGGATCCATGGTACTAGTTTCTTTTGAAGGTCGATTTCCACACTAATTCGAACAAATTTCCCCTTCTCTGTTTTGCTTGTCTTGTTTTGGGTATTAGCTTCAGAGAGAGTGTTGACATCAACCTTCAGGATTTTACCTATACAATTTCCTATCCTCCATAGGATTTCTTTATCATAGCATTGAATAGGAATATTGTTTAATCTCACCCAAAGTGCTACCTTACCAAGAAGATTAGTGTTCAGGTTGAAACTCGGTGCCTAGCACTAGACCATGAAACAATGGTCAAAAATTGTCCATGGACCTCTATTAAGATGTTCTGGTATGCTTCCTAATTTGTGGTTCTGATGATATAATAACCATTAACCAGATCAATGAGCTCAAAGTCTCTGATCTGCCACATTTTCGCCAATCTTGGCTTAAGAGATTTAGGATTGAGCTGAATAACCAGAGTTTTAATAACTATAGCATCTACCCATGGTGAGCAGATTTTCTTCCATTCTTCATCTGAGATCTAGACACTAGGATATTGATCTATCAGTTTCTTGGTATAATCAGGAGACCACTTTTGCTCCAATTCCTTAACTAGAGTCTCATTAATATGTTCAGTGTTATTTCCCTCATTGATCCCATAACAACCATCGAAGCCTACAAGGGAGTCCTTGTAAGAAATAGGAGCTTTAAATGCTTTGATTCCTTGTAGTAAATTTTCCTTGCCTGGATTTTCTTCACTGTCTCGAGCACTTTCAGCATGAATATCCATGGGATGTGGTCCATGTTGTTTGCTTTTTGATCCTTTGTCTATCAGTTCTTCATCTACTTTGGAAGCATTTCTGTTTAGTAAGTCAATCTCTTCTTTGGAAGCAGGAGGATCCATGATAGCATCTTGAGATTTTGAAGCTGAGAAAACGAAATCAGACTTGGATTTCATTGCAGAAAATGAGTATTTGACGATGAAGATTGAAGACGTTTCCAATCTCACAATTTAAGAAGCATATTTTGACACGTAGGATGAGATTGAGAAGGGGAAGAAGACGGGATTCTTTTGCAAACTGATGCAATGGGTTTTGTTTCATGAAGGCTGTAGTTATACGGGGGAACGGATTGCATGTTTCTCTTTTTTTAAAAAGTATCTTATTTAACTAATAAAACATTAGTTGAGTTATTTAATATCTCTAAACACTAATTATTTATTGAAATGTTATAAAACTGTATAAAAAAGGAAATGTTATTTCTTCATTTAATGTCCCAAACAATATAACTTTCTCCCCGTGATAAAAAAAATATAAAAATAATGCTTGATAAATATAGGAACTTATGCTTTAAAAAAAAAGAGCAATTCAAAACAAAATTTTTTTTAAATCCAAACCTTTCATTTATTTCCTTTGGTGAAGGATTTCATAATATATTTTGTTAAACTAAATTATTTTAATACATTGTCAGTAATAATGACTAACGATATATATACATATATACAAATATACCAAAGAACTATAATAAAATATACATTTTTACCCAAAAAAAAAATCACATGCACAGCCATAAATATTCTTTGTTCATCTCATTTTAAGACTGACGTTAGTGTTTTTCAAAATTAATATGTCTGCATTTGTTTTTTCATCCTACGTGACTGTAACAACAACCCAACCTAACATCACTATTACAACTGGAGTAGGTTTATGTGAAAATTGGTTCAGGAATTATTGCTTACTAAAAAGAAAGAACCCTTATCAATTAATTATTAAAAGAATTTGTTCATGTGTGGTGGTCATAATTTGCACTGAATGCCAAAGTTGTTATATTATACCGTTTAAACGTATATTTAATGTTAATTTTTGGTTTCATTGGTTAAGTAATGAGTCAATCACTAATGGGCCCAAGTCTTACTGAGAGAGACTTACAAGTTTTTCCACTGCACAGCATAATCAGGAAGTGCAAGTCAAACAGATTTCCCTTACCTGAGAACTGATTGAGTAACACCAGAATCGGCTATCCCTGGCTAAGATAAGTTATTATACAAACATAATCTTCAGCACCGTCTAAGGTTCGCCACAGGTCGTGCCAGTCAATACTCCATTTTTTTCTTACCTTCACATATTCTTTTCCTTCAGTTCGATTATGTAAACCTGTACTTATTAGTTGCTTCTTTATTTGATCTCAATTGTTATCTTCCTCGACTCTTATCAGCATTATCGCAGATAACTAATGAACACCGAGTAGTGGCGTCGCTGTCTAATCGTTTCTTGTTTGTTTCTATATCTCAGTGTTGAAGCAAACCACTAGCTTGCGTATCCGAAATTCTGGACTCCGAATCTATCAGGTGATGAATGAAAATGCTGATGTTTTTACCTTCGGAATGGGTTGCTCCATAAATTAACTGGACAGAGTGTTTTTGTGGGAAGAAAGTGGTTATTTATTAGCATAACAGATATTGATTATTTCTTCAATTACCATCCTTTTTTTAATCAGGTATTTGTTTTAGTAATATAGCATATTTGCCACTGATTTGTGCTTATAGAACTTCCATGGTGTAATGGATGGTAGTACGAAATCCTTTTTGTTGGACTTTGGTTATGAGAAGAAAAAGGATAAGGCTTCACAGTGATTTGTTCTGGTTTTAATACATATGCATTGAAATTTTTAATTTTGAAATAGTTTTGAGTAAGCTCCAAGTATGTTTATTATGTTCATCTTTGTGTTCTACTTTTCTGTCATGGAGCATAGCTGGATTTCGTTTCATTTATAAATAAAATTTTGAGGGAGAAACCAACAAAGAGAACAGAAAAAATAGGGAATAATAGGATTGTAGAAAAGTGAAAGAAATAGATTAAAGGGTTTAAGTTAGAAGAAAAAGATAAATAGTTGGAAGATTGAATAGTTGCAGGAATTCATTGGAATTGATCACGAGAGGGTATAGCTCTTAACATATAGTCTATTCTATACCTATTCTTTTATAGATAGTGATGAGTATTTCAGTAATTAATGTTAAGTCAAATAAATAATTTTCAAGATGATAATCAAAACATTAGATTCAGAACTTCATATTTTTTCCTCAAATTTGTTCCACTATTTATCTGGGACTGTAAAGTGAGAGTTTGTTGTTAGAAGAAAAATATTGTATTATTGATGAAATTATGAATTCATTTACATTGCGGTTTTATATCATGTAAATAGTGTTATGATTATGATTAGTGTATCTGAATGTAATAATGTTAGGATGTTGGTGTCCTGATTTGTTTGGGGTTCTTTTTCTTTTTTAAATATAAAAAAAGAACAACTATAGGGAAATTATTGGAATAGATGTTCCATGAAGTTGCCACCAGTTTTAATGTTTTGTGATTTGGTGAGTATTCAAAAGTTTATATAACCATGAAAAATAGTACAAAATTGTGTGATTGTAAAGACATTATGGGTTGTTATTTCGTGTAACAATATAAGGTGTTCGAAAGTTTTATGGAACTTTGATTGATTTTGTGCAACAATTTACACAACAATTAGTAGATTTTGATTGTGCTAGAGGAAACCAAAAAGAGGAATTGAGTGACGATGTAGAAGAAACACCTGAAGGACAACAATACTCAAGAAATCGGAACAAAAAAGAGGTTCATCAAGGAAACAGAGAGAAGACAAAACATTATTGAGAAGACCAATGACAAGATGTACAAAACAAATGTTAATGCAACATTGACAAACCAAAAAAAGAGAGGACAAAAAAAAGAGAAAATAAAAAAAATGCTCATGAAAAGTTAGAAGAAGTAACAACAAAGAAAGCTATGCACATAAGTGTTGGAAAGAAGGATCCAGACAAGTCAACAATATGCCAGTTTGGAGGGAGTGGTAAACAATATGTAAAAATGCCCTTGGTATGACAAGTTGTGTTGGCTTTGCCAGCTATGAGTATAGGAGGAATTGTGAATTGTGATGGTAAAAGAAACTAATGGAGCGGTACAATAAGATCTCCCAATGAGGTTATCTATTGATGGAAGAGAATACCAGCAAAAACACATACTGCAGGTAGGTAATTTGGTGATCTATATTTATGTTTTGGTTACTATGTTGAGGAAGAGGAACAATTTACCATGCCTAAAATGTCAAGGAGAAGGACCAACAAAATTACACACACAGTTGGCATTACTTGTGAAATCATCTTTAGATGAGGACACAAGAGACAAAGAGGCAAGAAAAAGATAATATGTAGAGTTCATGCAACTATCAAAAAAGGAGGTTTATGAGTATTGCACAATAAAAAAAAAAGATTAAGTGATAAAGCAGAGTAAGTTTTTTAATTCAAAAGTAGTAGGTATGTAATGATCCAACATTTTAAATTTAACAAAAAAAAATTTCCTAAAGAATATTTTATTTAAATAAGAATTTTGTTAGCAAATTTGATTTTTATTTTATTTTAAATCTTAGAAGAATTTGGGTTATTCTTGTAATTTTCCAGCTCCTTCTTGTATTTATCTTTGGCCTTTTCTTGCTATTTTCCCCAAACTTTCTTTCATCAGATTATATCTTCGAGAGCAAGCAAGAAAACAGAGCATTCGGGAAACCTGTTCTTCACCGACCTTAGATTACTCTCTTCTCGACGTTGTCGAACTTTTCCTCCTCACCTCCGGCTTGTTCTTCTCCTCATCATCGGTGTGGCTCTTTTTTCACTGTTTTGTTTTTGTTGTTCGCCTGTTGCTGTCTGCTAAGTTTCTGCTCTTATTTTCATATGTTGTGGCTGAAATAGGTGCATTGCTGCGTCCATCTTCGGCTTCTCTTTTCTTTCTCCTAATCAGTTGAAAGTTTAGGCATGTATGGTAATTGAGTTGTGCGTTATGGTTGAAGTTCTCATTCTTTTTCTTCCTCGCGCGTGTAACTGATCGGAGCTCTTCTCCTTCTCGTCTTCAGTTCCAATCACATGCTGGCTTTGGGTTGTCTATTGCAACTTTGTGGGAGGTGAGCGGATGTTCTTTCTTTTCCTCTTTCAGTGCAATGACAGCACATAATTAATCTCTTCCTCCTTCAGTCGATGGACGTCGTCTCTGTTCTTTATTCTCCCTGTGTTACTTGTAGCTAGAATTGAAGTATTGCACTTGGGTTAGAAGTTTGGCCTAGGATTAAATCTTTTCTGTCTTCTATATGTTAGATGAGAATTTCTTTGCTCTGTTGCCGCTGGACGATTGAATAAAAAGGGAATTCTTGGGTTTTCTTTTGCTGGTCTAGAGTAATATATAAATAGTTGATGATGTGGTTTGAATGTTAACGCCTTAAGGTGTTGAGAAAATGTGTAGAAAAATCGAAGTAGAGGAAATAAGTATATTCAATGTTTAAAGACTAGTACCAAAGGTTTAGGATTTGTTTTAAGGATTTTAATTTATTTTTAATAAAGAAATGTGCTTAGGAAGCTTTAAAATGATTGATATGATTTATAATAATTTATGAATGAGTATGAGTCATAAGAGGATATGAGTATATATATTCAGGATTATCAAATGATTAGGTTAACTTAAGTGTTCTTGCAGTGTAATTAGATATAGTATCATTAACATTGACTAGATTAAATAGTGATACCCATTAAGTATTTGAAAAAATTATTTCTCAAATGATTGGGTTAACTCAAGTGTACTTGTAGTGTAATTGGATATAGTATTTTTAGCATTGACTAGATTAAATAGTGATACCCATTAAATACTTGAAAAATTATTTGATAAATGATTTAAATTTTAACTTATTTGCTAGGATATTGAGGGCATCATTAGAATAGAGGTCAACGAGTTAAAAGAAGCAAGTTTTAGAATGTTTGAAAAATACTCAAATGAGTGGATAGCGTTCCGAATGAATTTCAAGCAATTATTTATAAAAAAATTTCTTTATTTAGATTTTAATACTATTTCTTTATTTGTTATGTAAATGTTCCTGTCAATTCTATTTTTTTATAATTATTTTATTAATGATGATATCTTGATTTTTCTAATGATTTATACTATTGATAAGTAATAATTAAAGTTGGTACACGACAAACGATGTTATTTTTCAAAAAAAAAACTCAATTTTTTTAACTTTATGTTCGATATGCAAACCTTTAGTACAGCAATTCGTGCATGGATGAAATGACAATGAATATGGGAATGAAATATGACAACCAAATCATATATTTTGAAAGTGAAAACTTTGAAATGGTTTTCAACTCTCTATGCATGCTTGATTTTAATTAGGGGGACTGAATTTAAAACACTGGATGCTAACGATAGTTTCATTAGCTCTTGGCATGTCATAGTTCACCTAGCTAGTAGGGTACTTATAGGGGGTGCTAGCCTTATGCGAAGGCTAATGCACGTGGATTGAAGGGATGGTATCTGTGAGTGCTGTACTCATGCTTGTTTTCGTGGGTTTCATGCCTGCGCTTGATTCATGGCTTTTGCTGCACTTGTTTTCATGGCCTTTAACCACGTTTAATTGGTTATTTATTCTCATGGACTATATGTACATGCTTGTTACTCGTTTGATAAAGCCCTCTTAAAATTTCAAGTTTAAATTTATCATTTTCATAAAATTTTTTGAAAATACTTTATCGAACTGTGTTTATTGTAAGTCTTTATATTTTGTGAACAGTGAAATTTTTAATACACATATGTGATTCCTTCAATCTTGTCTAAATTCATAATCACACTATTATAAAAAATCATTATTTGTTTAAAATTTTTGATAATTCATTATTTCATTAAATTATTTGAACTTAAATTTGTTATTTATTGTCTTTATATATCTTCTTTATTAAAATTTGGATTAGGACACTACTCACTGATAAATTTTTTGTCTCAGATATTGTAGTTGACCCTGTGCTTCTGACCGACCATTGAGGGTCATTCTTGCTTTTTGGATAAAGGAAGTACATGGTGATTACTCTTTTCGGTGAAATCTTATATTGTATTTTGCAAATTATAAGTTAGTGCTTCACGTATCTCATAGTTGGATCTTAGTTTTATTTTGTTATTGTGAAAGTTTCTGGAATGGAGTTAGTCTCCTTGCTAGTTTAATTGATAGGTTCTGTAGTTGTTGTAGAAATTTCGGGAGGTTCAAATTATAAGGGAGACTGTTGAAATTTCTACAAAAATTTTAAAAACTTTAAGAACTTTATTGTTATATATAACTTGCATATATTGCCAATTTAACTTAATTTCTAGATAATCAAGGCTTATGGAATGTGAATCCACATCATATTCCATACCGATCATATCTTTAGTATTGGGGTGTGACAAGGTAAGAAGGCATTAAATGTAACATCTATTAACTGGTATGTAGGACTATTATTGAGGTTGATAGTTACTACATGATAAGGGGCGAAAGTCAAAGTCTTGAACTCAGAAAATCAGTAAATGGAAAAATAGGTTCCTATTTTGTACATATTTCCTTGAATTATAATCTATTTAAAAGCATACAACTAATTATGTTTTGTTTTGTGCAGGTGATAACTTTAATGGGTAAATTGTTAATGGAGGAGCAGAAAGTGAAACACATATATGCAGAATGACATATTGTGGACCCTAATTTTTAGTAAGAAATAATTCAATGTTTTTTGTAGTGAGTGATTGTGTATTTTGTCAATTCAATAGTGAGATCATAAATTGTATGTTTTATTTCAATAATGGATTTTCTAACTAATTGTTCTCCATATCCATTGTAGTTGGAATCTAATTTGGAGAACCTAATGCCTAGATACGTGAGATATAATCTAGCAAATATGAATTGATGTTTGCGCCTATAAATGTAAATAATCATTGGTCATGCTATGTGTTAGAACAAAAAATAGGTAAAATGTTTGTGTTGGATTCATTGAAAATGGTGGATAGCTCTAATGTGAGTAATAAAAGACAAAGAAAAAAGTCAATGTATGAAAGTGAAGGAGACAAAATCAAGAACCCATGATGGTTCAAGTGATGGTATGACTTCTATCTATTTTTATTGTATTGTAAATAAGATTTGTTGTTATTACTTACATTGTTTATTTAACTTGCTTGAATGATAAATTTATTGTGCTTTTGAAGAAATTGAAAGGAGAGACATATAGCCAGTTAAAGGACTTGAAAGTCAAAATTGTGAAGATGGTTACCTAACTCGATATGTAAGTTGAAATATGCTAATTGGTTATTTAACCTGGTAAAAGGTTTTATGACATAATGTTAACAAAATTTGCACAGATTTTCTTATGAATTATATGTTGTCTATTGTTTAAGACGCTGGGAGAATGACGCTAAAGAAGAATGGGACGGACTAACAATACCTACGTTCACCAATGTAAGTTATTTGTCAAATTTTAAAGCTTAAGTCATGTGGTAAATGCTGAATACAAAATAATTATCTTTTAGAGGGGTTACTAGCTTTGATGGTTTTTTTTTTGGTAACAGGAGCAATTGTTTGACATGCGTTTGGGCATTATAAATTGACTGAGTACGCACCCACTCAACAAGGCTTCTGGTAGGCTCATGAGTTTTATTGTAGATACCATAAAACATGGTGACTGAAAATGCATAACCAGTGAAGAAGATGAATTGTAGACAATGTATTCAATCCTTTTTTTTTTTTCTCTCTTTCTAGGAATGTTGTGTAGAGATTGGCAACTATTTGTACATGGTGCATAGAGATTGTAGCTTGTGGCAACAATATGATCATTGATGAATTTTTTTCTTGGGAATGGTGTGCTATTATGTTTAACAGTAATAGAAATGTTAAATAGTCGATTGTTATGTTAAACTAACTTTATTTTAACCTAAATGTATGAATGAGTATTCTAACCCATAAAACCTCTACATTTCCTTTACATTGAAACTTGACATAATTTGCTAGATATTAATAAAATAAGTAATGAATATAGCCACACAATAGTACAAATACTTGACCGTGAAACTACCAAATACTAGTTAAATACAAAGATAATTTGTATTAATCCGTGAGTTATAACAATATAATGTGCCTTATTTTTCAAACTCTATGCATTACAAGTAATCTCCTCTAATCATTTATTATAATCATGAACTATTGTCATTGTCTAATTATTACGTGCCACGAAACGATCATGGAAGTAAAGGACCATTTTGTCCCTTGGAGGTAAAGTGTCCTTGACAATTGGGTCATTAAGGAAATTGCTCATCCATAAGGCCAAGTTTGGACATTTGAAAGGATCCAATATTTGCATATTTCCAACTTGTTCCCATACTGGAAGCCAATAAGACATCCATCCAAACGCAATGTCAAGGTACCCAATATTTTCGCCTCCGAAGAATTTCTTTCCCTTTATTAGTTCTTCGATCTTCTCCATGTCTTCTCGTACTAATTTTGCTGCATTTTCTTTGTTATCCCCATCAGAACCCATGGCCCGAAATGCACCGTACAAAATCTGTCATATTAAATTGAATAGTTAAAAAACATTTAATTTAATTTGGTTCATATAGTTTACAAAATTTGTAATTTGGTCCCATGATTGTTGGATCCTTAATTTGTTCTAAGGTTAAAAGACAATTTTACTTTTAAATTATAAATCAAGAAATGTCTAACGTCCTAAACTCCTTTTTAATATAATATTTTTCTTTAATTTTTAAAAAGGTGAAATTTCACTCTTATCCTCAATAAAAATTAACTTTGACAATTAATTGACTAAAAAATTATAGAAAAAGAGCTCAAAAATGCAAAAAGGATTCCAAAAAAATTACAGAAAATGATCAAAAAATTACAAAAAAAAGATCAAGAAAAATTCCTTAGTCTTTTGCTGTAATTTTTGCGATTCTTTTTTATAATTTTTTTATAAATAAGTTAAAAATTAATAACTATAGAGACAATGTTGGACTGTTTTAAAAAATGAAAGATAAATGTTATATGAAAAACAAATTTAAAATTTCAAATACTATTGAATAATAGTTTAAGAGTTAATTTACCATTCAACCTTTTGTTTTATTACTCATAAGATTGTTGATGTAGCTTCTCAGGGGGTTGGCCTGCGTGTCTATACATGTGTGTCATTTCTAATTACGGGTGGATTTTTTTTTCAAATGGTGAAAATATTCATGTACATGGAAAGCCTTGGGCCTGGTGATTGGGCCTAGGAAGCCTATTTCATAATATCTCTGTGATGTTTCAAGATATAAATACACAATAACATTACATGTCATCATGACTTCTAAGTTAAGTAATATAAGCACCAAAGAATATCAAAAACTAAACCGAATATTAAATCAGACAAGACAATGATTTACAATTCATTAATCAGACCATAATTAAATAGTCGTCAGACTGGTCACTACTATATTAATATATTTTTTAATTTATAAATTATAATATTTAATATTTCTGTCTCTTAGTCTTTCCCTGTTATAAAAAAATTATATATTATAATACTATAAAACTTTGAAATAGATTCTTTTAAAAGAAATATTGAATATATGACAATAGTGAACAAATGTTGATGAATGCCTGATTAGGATGATAATATCATTCATCAATGATGCTTTCTAATGCTTTCTATTTAAAAATTAAGAAATATAAATGAAATTATATAAATGAAAATTCAATTTAAAAAAGAAACTCACCATAATCTTTAGTCTTTATAATTGTTTAAAATTTATTTGATTATGGTAGATATTTTTTGGAAGCATATTAAAGATAAATTAGAAAGGCCACAGTTTTTTTAAAAAAATACAGATAAATAATATGAAGTAGAAAGATTTAAAAAAACAAATTTATGTTAACATATCTAGATAAAAAGCTTTAAGTCATTGGCTAGTTATTCTAGTGACAAATGATCTCTCTTACTTAGAAGAGATCTCAAATTAAAACTTAACCTTGACATGTTTAGGTGCATGCATCGTTTAGATTAGGATTAAATTTAAAAAAAATAAAAAAAATTGAGTTGAGTTGAATCCATATCTCTTCTAAGTAAGAAAAGGGGCATTGCTCCTAGAAGGCTAGAACAACTCATTGTTGAGTTGAATTTAAAAATATATTGCATACCTTTTCTTCAGCAAATTTAGCCCAAAAGCGAGCAAGGGATCTGTGATGAGGATGCTGAGGCAACAATGGATTCTGGGTGATCCAAGTCTCATCGATGTATTCGAGGATGATGAGTGAGTCAGAGACTGGCCTAAGACGATGAATCAGAACAGGAACTTTCTTATGAAGAGGATTCATTTGCAGAAGAAGGTTGCTTTTGTTGAAGATGTCTTCTTCAACATACTCATAATCAACGCCCTTCAGTCTCAGAGCCCACACAACTCTGCAACAAACTGGACTCAAATAAAAGCTTAATACCTTCACCTGATCTTCTTCACTTCTCATGGCGTTCAACTAGTTTTCCTCTCAGCTTGTTTTAATCTAATCTCTTCTCGATCGACCAATATTCGATCATATATATATATATATATATATATATTTTAACATTTCAAAAGTTGAGTTGAAAAGATGGCCAGAAAGATAAAACTTTATATTTGTTTTTTCCAGTTCCGTAGCCGAATTGAACACAATAACCAGGGTCCACCTTCGACTGCGCTTTTAACCGAGATGGGCGGCATACTGTTCATTGCCTCGATATATGAATCTGAACCATTTAAATTTAATTTGGAGGTTCCATGTTTAAACTTTCAAATTTATATATATATATATATATATTAAAATAAAAAAGTTATATAAATTACAAATTTTTTAATAAAATCTACTTTATAACAAATCAATAGTTCATATTTAATTTGAATAATTCAAATTTAATATTAATTTTTTAAATTTTTATAAATTCACTATCTAAAATTATTATGAAAGATTCAGATTTAAATATACTTTATAACAAATCCATAGTCTGTGTTGTGTGAAACTCAAGTCCATGTGAATGTTAACAGTAGATAAATCACTTTTCTATTCTCTTTCTATAATAAATACTCCCTTCATTTAAAAATATAAAATATTTTTAAAAAAATTAAATATTTAAAAATATAAAACATTTTTAATTTTTTTAAGAAGTAATCATTACATTTTTTTTTAAAGTGTTCTTATTGAATAAATTACTTTATATTTATTTTAAAGTGAAACACCCTATTAAATAGAAGTAAACATAGAAACATAAGATTAGTTTGAAAAAAAATAATTTTTTTATTAGACGATAAAATTCGATTAAAAATGCCTTACATTTTTAATGAAAGAATTAATATTTTTATTTATGAGTATATTTATTATTACACATACTTAAATTGACAAAAATATTATACATAATAAATATTTTATAGTGCATGACAACTCTACTGCTTCAAGTCCCTATTGTTGAAGTATCATTTTTTCTTAATATTGTACAGAACAAAATCTTAATTATATCTCTCGGTTTTATTTTATTGAATGTCTATCCTTGAAATTTTAAGATGACTTTTATTTTAATCGTTATTAATAAAAAAGAATTGAAGCAACGTTGTGTAGTGTGAAAGAATTTAACTTCACGAAACTTGATCACAGTGACAATTGTAAGCCACCAAGCAGTGGGAGGAGCTTGGGGCTCTGTCACGTGCCTGTTGAAAAATTAGCTGGCGACTCAGAAGCAATGGCTTGGTTAAGGGCATCCACCAAAGCCATATCAAAAACAAATTTTCATAGGACAATTGTCACTGCTTATGGACCCAAACTTAGGTGATCTATCTATGACTAGGGTGAAACTTGAGTAAAACTAAGTAGAGGTCCCAACCAATTGATGTTAAAGAATCAATAGAACTTCTTGGTGAAAAAAATAAAAAAAGTTATTCTAGGGAGAGATGCATACTCCACATACATATTCTTTCTCATTACATGATCATTTGAACTAAGGATGAAAGCCTCTAAATGCCTCAGCAGAAAAATATTAACCACCTAGAAGAAGGAAACAAGCCTATTAACATCAGGGGAGAGATAATTAAGCATTTTTACCCCAATACAGGAACATAATTCTATTTTGATAAAGAAGTGGACTAAGTTCGACACAATGAAAAATTACAAGCTTGGGAGGTTGAAATCCATGACACATGATTTTGCTTGAGCGATTTGGTTTGGACTTAATATATCATTACTGCTCACAACAAATGGTCAAGGGGAAATGAAATCATTCATCCAAAAACATATCATCGTTCTCTTCATCAAATACGGTCACATTGCAGTCCCACAAAAGAAGGATTGGGTCTTGCAAATCTTCAAATAACTCTTTATTTTGGCTTCTTCTATATTTGATTTACCGTGATGCAGGAGCCATGATAATGTCACCTCATTCAAAAACCAACATATACAGTAGTTTTGATTTACTGCACTTCACTTGTCTAGCATTTTAATAAAAACATCAATGTTATGAGAACAAGTTCAAGAAAACATTTTACAAGACTAACTTGTTAGGAGGAAGAATTTTTTGAACTTATAAACCCTACTTCACTGAAGCCCCTTGATATGATATTCATAACATATACTTTTATCTGTCTAATTAATATAATTTGTCCTTTTTACAAAAAAAAAAAAAATTACAAGATTTTCACTTTCCAATTACACTAAAGCATTTTGAGTAATGAGTTTATCTTTCATGTTCATCAATCAACCTTGATGAGATTTGTACTGTGCAGACTGTACACGTCTTTGCTGGCGCTTTCATTGTTAACATGATCAACTAGATGCTTACAATCAAATTCTAACAAAACAATCTTTAATCCATTCATAAAAAGAACATTATTGAATCCCATATCCCGAACTAACCGAAGGCTTTTCATTACTACCCATTCTTCTGTTTCACATGCCTTGTAACTATCCAACTTCTAAACAGAACTATGGGATTTTGTAAGATTTAAAACCCACAAATCATATTTGCATGTAAAAATCACAAAAATTGTGTTCATAAAAAAATGGCATAAATTATTTAAAACTTTTGTGAAAAATTATTACAAATTCTTGATGAACTGCTACAGCCACGTTGGTCAGATGGATTATGCTTTCTCTGTTTGGGGAAAATTTTCAAGTTGGGTTATCATCCGTGTGTGGTAACTTTGAATACGCTAGCATAAGGACTGTGTTTAAATCAAAACATTGGCCAGGCACTAGACTTCTATGATGACATAATGGCTAAAGGATTTCAGTTGGACCAATTTACTTATGCCACGTTGATCAATGGGCTATGTAAATCGGGGAAAACAAGATCTGCCATTAAATTGTTGCAAATGATGGAAAGACAGTTAGTGAAACCTAATGTATTTGTCTACAACACAATCATTGATACACTTTGCAAAGATGGACAGGACACTGATGCACGTGGTTTGTGTTATGAAATGATTGATCATGGGATATCACCAAATGTTGTTACACACAATAGTCTAATCTACTGTTTTTGCATTATGCATCAGTGGCAAGAAGCAAATCAATTGCTCAATGAAATGGTATTGAAAGACATCTCTGCTGATGTTTATACCTTTAACATCCAAGTTGATGCATTATGTAAATAAGGAAGGATTATAGAACCTGAGACTATTTTTGCTAGGATGATGAAGAGTGATAAAAAAACCTAATGTGATTTGCCTATAGTGGTTTAATGGATGGGCATTGTTTGACTAATAATACTGTCGCGGTTAAGGGAGTTTTTAATAGGATGATAAAAGTGGGTTTGGAACCTAACCTTTTTTAATTATAGTATCTTGATCAATGCATACTTTAAGATGAAAATGGTGGATGAAGCCATGGATCTCTTTAAGGAATTGCATTATGAAAATTTGATTCCTAATGTTGTAATTTATAATTCTGTTATTGATGGCTTGTGCAAATATGGGAAAATGTCACGTGGCCAAGATGTTATCTATGAGATGCATGATAGGGGTCATCATCCTAATATAATCACTTACACAATCTTATTAGACGCATTTTGCAAAAGAGGTTCTCTTGATAAGGCAATCACACCATTTAAGCAATTGGTTAATCAAGGATTTTCAGCCTACCATGAAGACCTACACCGTACTTATTGATGGTCTATGCAAAGGTGGTAGATTAGATGATGCATGGAAGAATTTTCATTATCCTGTGGCCAAATGTTATTGACTCGATGTCCATATATATAATGCTATGATTCATGGACTTTGCAAACAGGGTTTGCTTGATGAAGCAGAGGCCTTGCTTTGTAGAATGGAAGAGAATGGTTGCCTCCCTAGCTTTATAACGTTTAAAATCACTATTCAAAATCTTCTTACACCAAATTATCAAGAAGAGTTCAAAAATCCTCACCTTAAGTACCAACAGTAACAGAGGAGGGAGAGAACGAGAAGAAGCCGACAGAACAGGGAGAGGAGTTCTCCTGTTTCCAGCTTCAACCAATGGCAGACCACTCCTCTTTCTCTCTTCGGAAATGCACAAGCAGGCTAAAGGGAGTCAAAGACCAGATGCACTCAACCACAGCAACAATAGAAGAAGAAGGAAAAAGAAGATCACGAGCTGCACAGGGAACGAATCAGAGACAGGGTACACACGAAAGGAAGAAAACAGAATCACAGCACTAGACCAAACAGAGATGAGCTCGCGAACAACCCTACCAGCTCCGGCGACCTGATTCTCGGACCCCAGCTACGTGTACGTGAACAGCGAGAACAGAGAAGCAACAAAGAAGACACGTAGAGACAGGGAAGCACGACGGACAACCTGGGCATCACATAGAGACGCCGAGTCTCCACTTTCACCGCGCGATCACCGGAAACTAGAGGGGAGAGATAAAGTACAGTGGAGGACGACAGAAGAAGGGAAGGAATGACAGTGGACTGGAGGAAATCGAAGCTCCCTGTCTCTCTCCGTTGTTTCTGGACTCTTCGGCGGAGAAAAGAAAAATATAAGAACGGAAGAAGCCACGCATTTAGGTCTCTGTCTCTGTCTTTTTCTTTTTTCAGAAGGGCATTATTGTAATTTTGTCAATAGGTTGAAGCAAAAGAAAAAATATGAAAAATTTGCACTCTTGGCCCATAAGATTCAAACTCATGACCTACTAAATAAGTAGCAATATAATTGCCACTAGACAAACTCTTCTCCTTACTAATTTATTCCAAAATTAATATAAATACACTTAAACACTATATTATGTATTTTTAAATTTTAATTTTAATTTTAATTTTTAATTTTTTTAAAAAAAAATTTTGGGTTATTACGAATGTGAAACTCCAGTCCTTTATGAAGTTTACTGCCCAATTGTTTTCGAACTGAAAGCTATGCTTCTTGTAATGACTTGTAGTTTTAAATCTAATGATTATACTTTTGCCGGTTTTGTTTTTTGAAATTCCTTGCTTAAATGACTGTATTCTTGGGGGTCCTTCCGGTTCCTCTGTTGCGTGTGTACATCAAGGTATTGCTGCTTTCAATAGTAAATAAGCGAAAGCAGGTCATAATATATAGTGATGATTATAACTTGTTTTAGTTCAAAGGCATCGTTATTTGGCTTTGTTTTTGTGTGTGATGTGAAACTTGTCATTGTTATATAACTAACGTTTGGGTGCTGATGAAATCTCAATATATATCTTTTGAATTATATTTTATATGATAATTTGTTCCTTGTGTATGCAGAGGCTTGATAACTAAGCCAAACTAAAAGATACTTCTATTTGGCCTTATTTTGGTATGAGAAACATGCCTTTGTTGTTAGAAAAAAGAAAACACAGATTTACAGACTGAGAACAACAACTCAAAATGAAAGTTATTGATATAAATTTTCTACAAGTACTGAGCAACACAAAAATTACAAATGACACTGTTATTATGAACACATGGTCACTGTTGCAGAACTGTAGTATAATCAAATTTCCTAGAATAATCAAATTTCATTATTCCGACATATATGTATCCTAAATTTGATATCAGATCTAGTCCTTTGTTAACTTGGACGCCAATTTTGAATGTGAGCAAAAAATGTTTAGTTAACTAGGCCTTGTCAGCAATAGAACTTTTTATGATTCAAATTTAATATTCCTTTACAAATTTTTTAATTTAAAGAATTTTATTTAATAGGAATAATTTAACTGAATATATAATATGCTTTACTTCAATATTTTTTTAATTCTATTTCTTTTTAATATATGTGCAATCAAAAAAGATAGATCTAGCTAAAGAAAAATAAATGTCAAATAGATTTTACGGAAGATTTCAAAAATAATATGCCTATTTGAGGCTTAATTTTAGGAAATGATTAAGATAGATCAAAAATTTTAAACACAGATTCTTTTATATATATATATATATATATATATTAATTTAGATTCAAATAGATAGATATTTTCAAAAAAATCTTCCACATACATGGCAAATTAATTTTAATAAAATATAATTTTAGAATTGTATAAAAAATATAAAATAATAATTTTTGGCATATTTTTAGGGTGAATGAAAACTTTAAATAGATAAATATTAATTTAAATCTAAATAATTTTTGTATATGTTTAAAAATTAATAATTTATCCTACACCTAACTCCAACCTTAAATAATATATTTTGTATACATTAAAAAATAATAAAAAATTTTGAATCGAACCCCAAACTTGACTCCAGAGAATCACAAGAAAGGCATCTTAAAGTATAAAATTGCGACAAACTTAAAAATAAACATGTAATTTTTTTCATAGCCTTTAATCCCACTTTTACATACATAATGATGATTGAGAATGACAGAGCCAGTTGTGGGCGAGAAAATTTGCAGAATTTATTTAAATTTAATTAAACTCACAATTGGCGACCTTTATTATGATACAACTTCCAAAATATGAGATATATGGTGGAGTGGATATCAAATTTCATTCATATTTTATCAAAAAAATAAAATTCCATTTATAATTATCACTTAATAAATTTTAAAACATGAGTTGCAAATTATTACATAATTGACAATAAATTGGAAAAAAAACTGAATGTTAAAATTTTGTCATTTCCATCGGTTACATTCTTGTAAATAATTAGCATTTTTAAGGTCATTTAAACATTAAAGGAAAATAATAGGCATGATCATTAATGAAATTGACCTTTTTTTTTAACAAGGCTTAAAGAGACTATAATCAAATTATCTAAAATCATACTATCAAAACTATCACGAGATGTTTGATGGGCTAGCAAGTCGATGCTTCTCTAATCAATGATAATTGTTCAATCTTTGATAGTAAGATATTTAATTTTCTTAATGCATTCTGGGAGAGGATGACTTTTAGGATAGTTACGTTTCTTCTCCAAAGGCAACGATTGCTTCCCGTTCCTTCTTGAAATGATATATAGCCGTCTCAGCCGCACGCGTTGATTCCTGTAGCATCTCGAGCTCTTTCTCTAAGTCTTCATTCCTCTCACGTTTTTCGTAATAATCATATAAAACCTCCATTGCTTCGTCATGCTTGCTTTCGTGATAAGAAGCACACGTTGAATGGTAATCAAGTTCCTCAAGAATCTTTAATCTTTCCTTTGCATCTTCAATGCTCTTGCTCCGGTTATATGGTGGATTCAAATCAGTATCGTCACGTTTCAGCAGTTTTGTATAAGTAGCCAATGTTATTGACATACTGTACTCACGCAGCATAGTCACTAGCTCTTCATTCCTCCTTCTCTTTCTCCTTACTTCTTCATCCAATGCTTCCATCTTCATAACAGTCACAGAAATTAATCAAACAAAGGATGTTTTGATTTTAAAAGCAATTGCTAATACGTACCTCTTGTTGCCTGTGTTCATTTTGCCCCTCAGATTTCTGTGAACAATTAGAATAGTCTTCATCCATCTTCGTTTTCTTCGGTGACAAGAATCGCTTCACTCCAATTGAAAAGCACGTATAATTTTTCTCCAATAAGTCGCTCCTATTTATAGATCTTTTTAACTAGGGAAAATTTTATAGGTCCCATTGAATAAATTTATTTATAAATAGGTCCCATAAAATTTAAAGACCAGAACTGGGTCCTTTGAAACCTAAGTGTAATTTGAAATTGGAATGAGAAGACAATAATGACCATATCAAACATATATATACATTACATCAATTAAATAATTTATAGTTACTTTATTAGTATTTTGTAACTATAATTTTAATTTTTTACAATTGTAATTTCACATATCAATTTAACTTTAAATATGTAAAATTACAATTGTAAAAGGTCAAAATTATAGTTGTAAATTGCTGATGAAATAATTGTAAATTAATTATTTGATTGATGTAATATATGTTTGATAAGAATATTATTATTTTTACATTCTAATTTTAAATCTCAAGAAACTTAGCTATGATTTTCAAATTTATAGAACTTATTAATAAATAAGTCTGCCTCACAAGATGTATACCTAATTTTCCTTTTAAACAAACTCCTGCACGTTTTCAAATCTCATGAGATATGGTTTTATTTTATTGTCAAACTTAGAATCTCAACTAAATCTGTGATAATATTGTTATTCGAAGACAATTGATGGCAATAATCCTTTTTTTCAATTATATTTCATAGATAGGATTTTTCTGTCCTTTTCTCTAGTAATTAAGAAGACTTGGGTGATGCAGCTTTAAAAAGATGACGCGATATTAGACTACGGGTTCGGGTTATTCATCATCGACCTATTATTTTGCAATATCTTATTATTTTTTGAATTGCAAAACATAATTAGTAAAATTAAGTAATTGATATTATTAAATTAAATACATTGATCGAAATATTCTGTTTTGTATAATTATTACCGATTTTAAATATTTATTAAATTGCTACCTCTAACGTCATTGAACTTTAAAGTCCAATTATCTTAAAAAATCTACAATTAAATATACTTATTTGTTATTTACGATGCAAATCTTCCATAATGTTTTGAATTAAAGTACTGTCCATTATTTTCATTCGCATCTTTGAATTCAAAATTGGAGTCTTTATCCACTCTTCGTAGACTGGAATCTACCTATTATAATTGTCATTGATTTCTTTGATATAAATATTGTATATTAATTTTACTGTTTGTTAAACATGTTAAAATTTGAATTTTAATAATGAATTATAGTGAGTATTAATACATCCAATATATTTAAGAAGATAAGGGCGAGAGGGATTTAAAATGATCACGCATTATATTCGATGATTTTCACAATCTGCATATTATTTAGCACAATATATTCTCTATGAAATCTCTAAATATTCTTGAAAATACTTTTTTTAATCAGAAACAGTTGAGTCCATAATTGCTATTAAAATTATTAATTATGCTATAAAAATTAATAAATATAAGATAATATTTTATTCGTTTTATTGAATATCCATATTTAACTGCTTAGCAAGATTGATTTGATTTTTCTCGGTGACTTTGATTCGAAATTTTTGATAAGATGTTGTTATCAATTTTTGCTCGCAAAAAAAAAAAAAAATCTGGGAAACGGACACAATATTTTAAATTTATTAAAAAGTATTGTCATAAATGGCTTTGTGGACTTCTGGTCAGGGCTCATAAACAATGATGATTTGGGAAGCATTAATTCGTTTAAGAATTAAGAAAGTATTTTTCTTGCTCTTTTGTTTCAAAAATATATACATGCGAAATATTAACTTGCCGAATTTTTCGGCTAAAATTTGGATAAAGGACATGATTAGTAGCGTGAAATAGGAAACTTAATGAATAAATAAAACATTAAAAATTGTAATTCTGTTTATCAATACAAATATTTTTTTAGAATTTTATTGAGTAAATATAGTGACCTTCCTTCGTTTTGCTGAAGTTGTAGGGACATCTCCTCTATTTTCAAAACTTATATTTTAGTCTAATCTTTTAGGAATATCCCACTAAAAATTATAAAATGCTTAATTTTCATTTTGAAAATTTTAAAATTATTAATCTTCCTTTATGATCTGATTGCCTAGTGTCTTTCCAAATTTAAGAAACTTTAAATAATTAAGCATGTTAATGTTTAAATAAATAATTTAAAATTTTTGTGTTAAAATTAATGAAATTTAAAAAAAAGGGAAAATTACATATAAGTCGCATGGAACAGACTTATTTACAAAAAAGTCTTGTAAAATTGAAATATCACAGCCAAGTCTCAAGAGACCTGAGTATAATTTGAAATTAGACTATAAAGACAATAATGCCCTTATTAAACATACATTATGTTAATTAAATAATTAATTTACAACTACTTTCTCAGCGATTTATAACTATAATTTTAACTTTTTACAACTGTAATTTTATATATCTAATATTTAAATCATGTGTTACTAATAAAGTTTAACATTAATTATTTATAACGACTTCATCAATAATTTACAACTATAACTTTAACATTTTATAACTGTGACTTCACAATATATCAGTCAAATAATTAATTAGGGGAATTATTGTCTACTTATTTTAATTTTAAATTACACTTAAATTTCAAGAGACCTAGTTGTAATTTCTAAATTTTGGGGGGTTTATTTATAAATAAGTGTGTTCCACGAGGCCTATACACAATTTTCTTGCAAAATAAACATAAATTTCATTGAGTAATCTATTATATTAAATTCTTATTTCATAAACTTTTCAACTACTTCCATGTTTGAATAATATTTTAGCAAATTTATGATTAAATTTTTTTGGGTAACTTGAGTGATTTTTGGATAATATTTATATTTGAAGAAGGATGTTTTTGTTTGACATATGTGACTAACAATTGGATGGATGAAAATAAAATTTTAAAAATAAAGATATTTGTGTTTTAAAACTATTTATACTAGGGGGAGGTTCATATATGTTAGAAAACCAGAAGGGACATATCTGTACTTGAGGTGAAACAAAAGGAAGGTAAGACCATCTTACTCAATTTTATTTTAATGATTTGACCCTCTTATCTAGGCTTTGGCCTATTTTTGGATGCATAGTTTGCATTTTTTTTGGGCACTTTTTATTGCTTTTAAGTCTGTGAGTTTCAAGACATGATTTGTTCTCGATCTGTCTTGGTTGCTTATTTGACTAAAATTTTTTATCCCAAATATTTTTGAGCTTCAATAATGCTTGAAGCTTGAGTTTAAAGATGCTACATACTCACCTTCTTTCCATTATAAGACACCTTTAACTACTTTACCAAAACCAACAAGATATGATTAAGTCATTAATTTTACCTTGAAATAGACTGGACTTTCAAATTTAGTCAAATTCTTGTTTACACTAATATTTTGATCTTATCTAAATACATCAAATTACCATACACGAACTCAAGAGTCCAAAATACACAATTCAACATTGATAATCAATAGTGCAAGTAATTCTCAAGATATGAAATTCCTAGTTAGCATTATCAATTTAAATGCACATATAAATTAAAATATGGGAGACCTACAGTTAGGCAACACTATTCCTGAGCCTCCAGTGCTTTTCCTTTATCTTATGCCATGCTAGTGCCTATAAAATCTTTAGATGGTGAGTACAAGTTCTTAATAGCTAAGGCACATCTAATTAAGGCATATGCATGTCAATTAATAAGTAGTAATTGTAAAGGGGCATAGATTCATCTAGAAATTAAAATCACTACAATTCACATATTCCACTACTAATCTCATAATCACATTTTCATCAAGCACAAATATAATCCTGTCACAAATTTATCAACTGTGTGATAATTTAACCATGAAATGCATGATCAACACCCCCTTTTAACCTCTTGATATCTTTGACTGAAACAATGAGCTATTAAATCAAATAGGATTCCATTTATGTGAATGGATTACCTAAGCTCACTAGTTGTGAGAAGCAACCCGACCAACGGTCATTACACTCACTCTTGGACTATGGTTTTTTTTTTCATTTTTAAATTCCTAGGGCATCATTATCCTTAAGCTAGTCTCCTCGATAAACAAGTGCAAACAAGTTTGATTCAAATCCCTCAACAAATAGTGGGATGATCCCTTGACAAATAGTAAGACAAAGGCTAGCCTTCGGTTATCGAAAGGTAGCCATATTATGTAGATTTATACTACTCCTCTTCTTAAGACAAACTTTCACCAATCATGATCATGTAATGTACATGCTTAAAAAAAATAGCATGTCAGTATTCAATCCATCATGCTCAAAACAATACTGCACATGATACTTATCGTCTCATTTCAATTGTCATCACTTATGACCCAGCCCATAACCTTATGCCTCGAAAACCATCATCTCATCTTGTAATATCTCATTGCAATGATATAACAATTACAAGCTTCCTCATGAACAACTACATTATCCACAAATTACATAAATCATTATAATGCTCATTGTAAAGTCTCATTTAAACTTATTTTACTCAAGTTCACTTTGAACATAAATTTCAAAATCACATACTTGCATTTATTCTTTTAAAAAATATGTGCTCTCTTTTAGAAAATATAAACTCAAATTCACATATTCAAAAGCATATTTACAAGGTTCTACAATCAAATGATTAACAAGCAAATGCATAAAAGAAGATTTTCCTCCAATAATCTCAAACCTTTAATAGGTCATCAAAGATTTACCCCTCAATATTAATTCACTTGATCAATTTCTAATGGTGCCCAACAAAACTAAGCTACAATTAACCATACCAAATACCATTAATATCATCATGAACACTCTTCCAACTCTCATTTCCATCACTTTGAACACCCAAAACTCTGAACTCTTGAGCTTAACAACAACCATTTTGTTTACAAATTTCCATTAGCTCTAATCAACAACAATAAACTCATTAAAACACCATTAATGGTGTGAACACTATATTTTATCCAAATATTTTTTAAATATAATAATAATAACAAATTTAACAAAACAATGAAGTTTTAGTAATATAGA